TAATTTAGTGATTCCAACAATCCTTTATTTATTACAACAATACATGCCATACATACCCTACTCTTAAAACACACGTCATAATATACCATTAAACTAGTTAATCAAATCACTAACTTCTTATAAATATTTTTACCTTACGTAAAGCTTGACAGATCCAATTATTTTTCGTAAACATAGACAACCATGTCATATGTTCATAATCTACGTAATTCTTAAACAATCGAACATATAACCAATAAATTCATCAAGAAGATAAAATATCAATTATCACACTCAAGCATACTTGTATCATATTCAATCACACTTAGCATTCGCTATTAATCACTCATTCCAATTTAAAACACATACCATATCTTTTAACCATATATGGCTGAAACTCACCTACACATATTTATCAACTTTTCTAATTTTCTTGCTTTGTTCAATAATCTTAATTCACACATATATATCCTACAAATTTATTTACTTAATTTACTTAATATGTATAGGAAATACCATACCTACTCATAAACATTAATAATACAATTCCAAGATCCATACTTATATCTTTATAAGTCGAATTATATCCTTCCTAATATCATGAGTTTCATACATTTTCTTAATAATTTCAATTCATATTAACTTATAATATATAAAGAAAAATCATAAATAATCATAACAAAATTCTAAAACATTAAGTACATATATAGTATTCTAATAATCCCTTTTTAACTTACACACATATATGTCATACTAACCATCCACAATTTACATACAATTTATAATTTCATTTAAACATATACTTAGCACCAAAACTTCCTTATACAATCAAAATTCCCATACTTTTATTTTTAGCCTTTTCATAAATAGATTCTCTCAAAATTACTAAAATTAGCCTACACATTATCAAACTCTCAATTTCAGCATAAGCATAAAGAGACCTATACAACAACAAAACTTAGATTATAACTTGAAATTTAGCAACCAAGTTAAAGTTCATAACTTTATCTAATCTTTACAACACTAATTTAATTCTTAAAACATAAGTACCATTTACTCCTCTGTACAACCACTTGATCGAATTAAAAGAATAGTGTTGTCTTCAATATAAACACTTCTTGAAAATTTATAAAACTAAGAATGTGATCACAAAATTAAACTATCTTCCAATATATTTTAATCACACATTCACATAAAACAAAATCAAACATGTATTATTTCACTTAGCCTACAAAGGATTTCACAACTACCTTCATAAAGTTTTCACTTACTTCAATTAAAGCAATTATCAAATACTCACTTAAAATTCAAGGTTTCTTTTTGACAATTTAACAAACACATAGGTTGCATCACTTAATCATACAAAATCTGAAATTTCCTTTGTATATATATATTTTCTATATTTTTGTTTCCAACCACACAAACATACATAGACTTCCAACAACTAAATATCAACAATTATTCATAAATTCTTCAACATTTTCATAAATAATCTCATCAAAACAGACCCCTCAAACCATGTAATTTTATTTATAATTTCTAATCCAACACATCAAGTGAATATCAATTACTAAAGCTAACTTACTCATTCACAAAGAACAACTCTTAAAAACTTCAAACCATGAAACATTACATTTTTTTTCTTTTTTCTAGGCAGGGGCGCTGCTGTAGAAAGAGGGAAAGAATGATTTTTAAGCTTCTTTACAAGAAAATAATGATAGAAAGGAGTTAATTACATAAAAATCTACAAGTTTCATGAAGAGCATGAGTTAAAATTATAACTAGAACCTAACCTTTGAGTTTGCCTTTTATCTCTTGAGTTCTTCGAATACTTGGAAGAAGTAGAGTGCAGCGTTTTTTTGTTAAGAGTAAATATTCTTTTTGATCCTCAGCAAATTTCACGATATCCGTTTTAGTCCCTAGCAAATAAAAAGGTCCATTGTGGTCCCTAAAAAATTCAAAATGGACCCATTTAGTTGAAATCGTGGTTCCTCACAAATTCAAAAAAGACCCATATTAGTCCCTAAAAGGACTGAAATGGGTCAATTTTGAATTTTTTAGGGACCACGATAGGCCTTTTTATTTGCTAGGGACTAAAACGAGAATCGTAAAATTTACTGAGGACCAAAAAGGATATTTACTCTTTTCTTAAAAAGAGAGGAAGTGCATCGTGTATTTAAAAGGCACAAACCAAGCTTATTCACTTTTTCAACTTTAACTAATTTTAACTTACTATTTTTCCTATTGGTTCTTGTAAAGTAGCTTGCCTTTATTTATAACTGTTGACCAATTTATCTTCCTTCCTTTTGCTTCTTGCAGCGTACAAACTAAAGTAGGGATGATTCATTCAAAGCTTTAAATTTACTGTACCTTACTTTCTACTCTATTCTCTAGTAAAAGGCGAAAGAATAGTTCGCTCTGTACTCACCACACAGCTCCGTACCTTACTTTCTATTCTATCCCCACCAAAAACATACAAAAGAATGATTCACTAAAAGTTTGAAATATACAATAAGAAAAATCATTTTCTCATGTAATAGGAGATAGTTTTCTCATGTTATGAGACATTAAAAATCATGTTGTCCTTTTTATTTTATTTTCTTTTTTAACAAGTAGTGGGCTCCACCACTTATTGTGTCTATGACATGAGATATGATATTTCATGTGACATGAGAAAAAGAGAAACCCATACAATAATTCTCCTTTACTCCCGTTGGTCCCTTTATCACTTGGACTAAGTCAAAGCTTTTCTTGATGCATTATATTTTTGAGTCTTATTAAACATATTTGACATAAACTATAACATGTTATTAATTATAATCTTAATCTAATAATTTATCTCTCATAATTTAATTAAATAAGTATTTAATCTAATTAAACACCTAGTTAATTTCTTTTTCATATTTTACTAATGAGGGTTGTTATAATCACAGCTTAGAATACCAGTTAGCAATACTTTTATGTGAAAACGATAATCTGGGACTTAAATAATCCTTTTTATTACTTGACGTGTGCACTTGCTCTAAATGGTCTTCACTCTAGGGAATGAATACGTTTCCCCTAACTGATTGTAAAAAGGACCAAACGTCATAATCTTGGGAACAAATGTGTTTTCCTTGATAGGCTGCAAGAGACCCGACAAGTTTTTGGCGTCGTTGCCAGGGATAGCTTTTGTTAAATCCATATTTTAAGTTGTGTTCTTTTATTTATTTAACTTTGTAGTTATTTCATTTATTTCATACCTGTTGATTCGTTTATTCTTTACTCTACTGAACTATTTTTATTATATCATGGTTTATGAATGAATCTCTTAGTTCATCTGTATATTCCTCTGACTCTGAAATACTTTTCTTTAACTTTGATTTCTTTGATCTTGAACCTGAACGTACACTTCACCAAAGAAGAAGAATCCTAAGGCAAGTTGAAACCAAAAGAGAGATGGCTGACCATAACGAGAACAGTGGAAATGGGAATGAAACGGAAGGAACACCACCACCACCCTTTGTGCCTACATTTAGAGCTTTGACTGCTCTATCTCGAAATAGGCAAGAAAAAAGAGGTTTTTTTCCTCCTATTACAGTCACAAACTTCGAGCTTAAACCTATTATGTTTAACATGATTAGGGAAGCTGGAGTTTTTAATGGACTTCCAAATGAAGATCCATATGCTCACCTCAACAATTCCTTATACATTTGTGATAACTTTAGAGCATATGGTGTTACTAAAGATAGCATGAGAATGAGGTTATTCCTTCATTCTCTTGGGTCAAAAGCTTAAACTTGGCTAAAATCCCTTTCACCAGGTTCTATTCATTCGTGAGAGGAACTCTCTAACAGATTCATAGAGAGATTCGTTCCCATGTATCGCTTGGCAGAAGTAAGGGCAGAGTTGTCCAACTTCAGAATGTACTATGGAGAAAATCTCTACGAGACATGAGAACGATACAAGAACATAATGAAGAAATGTCCTAACCATGGATTGGAAAGTTGGGGAGTTCTCCAAACTTTCTACAACGGTATCAACCACACATCTCAATCTCATCTAGACTTTGCCACGGGAGGAAATTTCTTTGAAAGGACGATTGAGTCCCGTTACGAGATCATTGAAAATGTTACAAAAAGATGCCTTCAATGGCCAATCAAGAGGGTTATTCCCCTCAAAAAGCCAGTAATATTGGAGCTGGACAAGCAACTGGCAACTCTGATGAACGAAGTGAAAAACTTGAAGGCTGACCAAAATCAACCCAGATCCAATGTTTCTCAGCTCCCAACCCCTGAGAGTGAACCTTGCCCAACCTGTTGCGATGATCACGACTCATCAGATTGTCCCCAGACAGCACCAATATGCTATGCGAAAAACTATAGTGGCAGGAATTCTAACTACTCCAGGGATAACAACAACAACTTTGCGGGACGAAACAACAATCAATGTTACGGTAATTCAGGGCAGAAAGATCAAAATTATAACCAACCTTGGAGACCACCCAATAACCAGAGATTCAGCAACAATCAACAGCAGTAGCTCAACACCATCGGGAAAAACAGAGCTGATGATAAAATCAGACAAAGACAGTTTAACACTCTGTTTCCTAGGGATGAACAACGCATCAACTTCTTAGAGAATATTATAAAAGAATCTATGACAAGGAATAATGTTGTTGTTAGAAACATTGAAATCCAACTTGGACAAATTACTTCATCTGTGAGCACAAGCCCACCAGAAACACTGCCTGGAGATGCTGAAGTTCCCTGTAAAACCCCAGTTTACCTAGCCAGAATGCCACGCAAAACGGTATAGATGCACACTTAATTTAATAAGAATAGCAGAAGACTTCCTCTAAGTATCAGCATAGTTCTCTTGAAACTACGTGATTAATTAAAACTTTTCATTTGTATCATTTATGTTCACAACATTATAATAAACTGCACAGCCCCATAACTGCATAGAGTTAATACTTAACACCAAATTGTAATAGTTACCAATTCTGTAAAAATGGGCAGCATAACCTTTGTTTATCGGACTATCCAAATTCTTAAACCTCATATCCAGACATAACTTATACATACATATTCATGTAGCATCTTCAGAATCTATCCATATATTCCCACTTACTCACAGCAAACTTGAAACATACAGACATACTTTATTGTATGCAATATATCCAAACCTTTAACGACATGACCTTCTATAACTTATATACAGCGGTACCAATAATATTTTCAACTCAAATACATAATTTATTTGAAACACAACCATACATGAATAATCCCAAACGTTAGTCAATCGCGCTGCTCTTGACGTCTGCTAACCACCTTTTTCACGTTCCTAGTTCTTTGAAAACACGTCGTCCGAGAAAGAACCTGAAATGTGTCCCCAAACGCAGGGTGAGATTTGAAATCCCATTAAACTCTAAGTTTATAGAATAGTCTCCCATTCTTAAGTTCATTTCCTGCATAATTGGTCAGCACACGTAGAATAGCATAAACATATAGATTACACATACAATATTCAGACAAAACATACAGCACATAACATACAAAATTTCATATTATTAAATCTAGTTCATTTGCATCCTATGGTTAATTTTCATGCAATCATTATAGTTTGACAAGCAATTTAACATATTTAAATTAAACAGTTAGCTTATATATAATTTGTAAACATACAATGGTAAATAATAAACATGTAAACGCACAAGCACTTTCAAACAACTTTATTTACATTAGTAAATCATTCACAATTTACCATTAATCTTATAGAATTTATCATGTAATCCAATGCTACAGTTCTTACAAAAGTTTTCATCTTTCTTTCGTTAACCTAATACTCTCGAAGTAATATCTCCCAGTATCATAGCATTCACAGACATACTCACTTTCATTATCATATTCTTCTTTCAAAAACCACTACTAATAATTTCTTTAATTTTTAGAATATCAACAAAACTTACAAATACAATAAAAATCAACAGACAACAAATTAATTAAACAAACAGTAGAGAATAAGAAAAATCAGTAAATATATTTAATTAACAGACAGACACACCAAATAAGTTATTAGACAAAACACATCATAATACAAAGTAATTCATCAATTAAACAAATACATTACATTACAACACACACACACACATTCAATCTACACATTACAATGCATTACAGAAATACAAGATAAACCTGTATTACAATCGCAGATATATTTATCTTCACATCACAAATAGCCGGAACCATCCGAGGACCGGATACGTTCACGGTAATAACTTATCATATTCCATCAAAGTCATCCATTTATCAAATGATCTCAACTTGTACGACCAGTTATTCATTGGCCTCGTACTGGAATTCACTCATATTTCATGTATATTTATATATAATTTACTTTATAGAATTATGTACTTTTAACTCAACACATTTAAAAAGCATCCATTTTTCTAAGGATTACATGTACAAACATCACAGACATTTAGTATTCATTACTTTTCTCTTTACGAGATACAACTGATTCACCGTCAAATTTATCAAAACATTAAAGTATCTGAACATCACTCAAAGTACATTTCCAGACTTATCAGATATACCAGTCATTTCACAAATCATCAGACACATCAATCATTTAACATATCAACAGACACATCAATCATTTCGCATATTAACAGACATAATAATCATTTCACATATTAACAAATACGTCAATTCTTTCTGCATATTCACATACAAGTTATTCATTCTACATATCAACAAATATGTAAATCATTTCACATGTTAACAAATACGTCAATCGTTTCACATATTAACAGATATGTCAACGTTGAACTCATTATTTAACTTAGATATCAACATACCTCATGCATTACATTTTTATTTACCATATACATAATACTATTCCAATGTCCAACCATATTATTAATACAGACAATAACCATTATCCCACCGGATTCTGGTAGAACAATAAGACAGAAGAAAACTCCTTAAACAGAAAGCTTACATGCAAAGCTTTACTTATAGACAACTTGATTCCCCAATAAATTGCTTCTGAATACACACTAGTATCACAAACAAGACACTATCAATTACTGATTAAGTGTCCTTGCAATTCAAACAATTAACATTTATATGTTAATTCACCAATTTACTTAGATTATTTTATCCAACTCTTAAAACTATTGTACTTGAATTGTTCTTATTAAATTCTGAAACTTCACCATCTTAATCTAGGCCATAAGCTTTACAACGGTGTATTATAAGCTTCGTTTCGATAAGCATAACTCAAGATATGTCCGCTGTAAGCAAATTGCTTAAACCCGTCGTCAAAAAATAGGGCAGCAGAAACTTCTGTATTTTTCTGGAAATGCTAACCAACCCATTTTATTCAGAAATTTTTATGACAAATACTAGACATCTGGGGATTTAATTTGACATAAGATTCGTCCTGTTTCGTTAAGAAGCGAAGGAGTTATGAATCTTGAAAAATCCATGTAACATGTTGCCAACACAGGGAAAATTCGAACACTGTCCACACTTTCTTAATCTGGGCATGATCCAGACCTCATAAAAATACACTCTTTTTGACAAGAAACTAGACATCTTAATCTTAAATTTGATGTATCACACACTTCATTTCATTAAGAAATGAGTGGGACATGCCCTTTTTAATTTGGGCTAGAGGAAAACAATATTTCATTACAGCCTGAACAACCTTCACTCTTTCAATAACGAAATCTTCAATTCTGGTTGTATTATTCTGAATCTTTCATATGTTATACTAGACTTACATATGTTTAATTTGGAGCAAACCACACTCCATTTGGAGTTCTTAAACTTCAATTATAAATTTTTCAAAACAGAGGCTAGATTACCTCTATTAGGGTTTGTCACTTTTTCTTTAGACTAGTTTGCGTAGTTTTCTTTTAATTCAGCAAATCAAACTTTAATCCCATCAAAACTTCATCAAATATTCAAGATTTTAAATATTTATCCTTAACATAGGAAGAACAAAGATGAATTCTCCATATTAAACCACTAGAAATCAAGTAGGTTACCTTGTTCCAAAACAACTCTAGGTTAATCTCCACACTTTAAACTCTTGAAACCATCAGCTTTTCACACAAGTTCAGCCACAACTCCATGACTTTGGAGAGTATAAAATCCATTCATCACAACCCCTCTTGAAAAATTAATTACATGGTTGTATTCACAAGCTCCTAAACTACAAGTTTCATGTAGAAACTTTCACCTGAAAGTGTTTAGTTTAAGAGATATGACTTAGCTCCTTTTTAATAAACCATGTTCAGCCATGCAAAACACAAGGAAGAGGAGGAGAAGAGGAAGGCTTCGTGGGACTTGAGAAAGAAAAGGAAACCTATTTGGTCTTCCTGAAATATCTAAGTTATTTTAACTTAGTTTAAGTAACTTGTTAACTTTTCATTTCTCAACTTAACAACCAATTCCAATGATCCACCTCACTCTTCTAGGCTCTTCTATAAGACCACATCTTCGACTGACCCCTTTGGAATAAAAAAGGAATTGCTTTTTGTTGTTAAAATATCACAAATTTACTTAGTTTTTAACTTTAACCACTAGCCTGCTATTTTTTACTTTCAACACCATTTATCTTTAATCCTATTGGCTACTTTTTCTATACTCATTCAGCCTTCAAAACTGAACACACAAGGAAGAATGCAAATATCTAAAATACTATTATGATGCATCACAATATTAATTTCGAGACATATGCACGATTGATGACAATTAAATCAGGATATACGGCTTTCTGAGAGGGATTATCTGAATACATACTGGGTGTATCAGTACAGAAAGAGTCTACAACATGCAATTGTAGGTCTCGATTAAACGCTTCAATTTTATCTTACATGGTATTAGACATTCTAATATAAAAATTTATAAATGCAATCGACAGATACTAATTCTGAGGAAATCTAAATAATTTATATCTATTTTCCGTATGTATATATATAATTAGAGTTCCCCCTTCTTGATTAATTAAATCTCTTAATGTACTTTTAGTTAAAGAATAACACATGTTGTTCTTAACATTTTTTCTCTTATTTTTTTTTTTTGTGGCATTAAAATCATCTTAAATTAATTATGAATATTTGTATATAATTTTAAATATCACTTTTATAGTTTAAAATATTTTTAAATTTAAATTTACCTAAATTTAAAAAAATATCATAAAATGAACGAAATATATTCTAGTGTAATATATATATAGAAATACTCTATCATGGTGAATCTTGAAGATAGGATCTGATGTCATTTTCACTTTGAGGTGGTAGTGATAGCATATGTCCATTAATGTAATTTAAATTAATAATATATAAAAAAGGAAAATATCACTTTTACCTGTGGAAAATAATATATCACTGGTTAAGATTATTTTGCATTAGTGTAAATTACACTTATTTTTTGTTATTGATTTTATTCATATCTAAGGGCCTTAATTTATTAAATATGTGAATTGTTAAATATAAGTAAATCAATTATCAAAATTGGATATAAGACTTAATATTCTTATATTGCTTAGCCAACAATTATAAAATTTGAATGTAAAAAATGCCTTTATTTTGCCGTAAACATTTTTTTCATCTAGTTCACTTCCTCTTCCACCTCTACTACCTTTTGTTCCACCACCAATAACAAACTACTCCACCACTCATCCTAGGATAAAATTAGGGACAAATAGTGGAGGACTCAGATTTCCTTCTATTATAACTGGCCTTCTCTTTCGAGCAACATATGTTGGACAACTTGATAACCCACATGTAAAAAGACATAAATGCAATCAATGTGCTAAAATGAGGGGAAATACTAAGGGTTTTATATTTCTCATTCAACATGAGAATTGAATGAGACCCACGTATGTAAGAAAAAATTATGTGTAGAACCCACGTTGGCACGGAAATCGAAAGGTGTGTAGGAAAATTCAAATTCTCATGTTAAATGAGAATTATAAAACCCAAATACTAAAGATTCGAAACTAAAGGAAAAATAAGTTAGATATTAAGACATCGATTTTCCAAAACAGAATACATGAATGTAATTAATCATGTGTCCCATGGTGTAATTAAAATATGTAATATAAACAACATTAATTAATGTGGGGGCAAAAGAATGAAAGCCGAAGACTAAAGGGTAAGCATAAATACAATAACAAATTCAAAATGCAGGAGAAAAGACCCAAAACTAATGAGAAGGATCATTCCCACCTCATCTGACATTTAGGTCTTTTTAACAGCTACAGTAAGCGCATCCTCTATAGCTTGAGCAAAAGTTGCAATCTTGTATGTGAAAAAACCCACTAGCATTGGTATCAATTGTAACTGCATAAATCCAAATTCGGGAACGAGAATCCTGCAACCAAAAAGGCCTTGTTAAGTGCAGAAAACTAGGATAGGTTCATGAACAAATACAAATGCCCTATGGATTAAATCAAGAAAAAAAAGTTCAAGAAATTTTGTTAGCAAATTAAATTGACTTCATTAAACAAAATAATAGTTGTTCCAATTGCATATGAAAATAGGACTTACCCATTCCAACGGTTAAAAACCATGACTAATATAACAGGAACTAGCAATCTTGGCTGCCCAATTGCTCCCCTGCAAGTAACATACAATAAGAAACCAAGTGATAGAAATTCAATTCCCTCCTATTTAGCATACCATGTGGAACTGTGGAAGATAGCACTATCCTTAAACGATATTGTTAAGGATATAATAGCCTAGGTTAAATTTTTCTACCTTTCTTTTACCGTGATATTATATATGGTTGCTGTAAACTTCAACATGGACAAAATAATTTTGGAATCATACCAATGAAAAATTGAAAACTTCACTAATCAAATAGTCATGGTGGTAACAAGAAGACTCGTGTTTATCTACTCAAGACATTAAATTCTGCATAGTAAATCTATCATCTATAGATTACTTGACAAGGCCCTTTGCACCATTCGTTTTTAGCGCGTCCACGCTACTTCCCAGCATCCGAATATATGCCAAAGAACCAAGAAAGCCAGCACCAAAGCTGAAGACATGAAAGACAAGTATACATTAAAAAAAATATGGATAAACCTTAAAACTTTCTTTTGAAAGATACTATTACTAATACCTTATCTTTTATTAGTAATTTCAACTTTTATGAATAATAATTGATAACCAGCACAACAGTATGGATTTGTCCAATATGTCTCTCAATAACAACTTGAAGTTAGTAATTTCCTGTTAGTTTTTATTTTTAACCATCTCAAAGTTCATTTTTTTTTTTTTTTTTAATAAAACAAAGGGGCTAGAGCCCAAAAGAAATTACATCAAAGTGGATTCCGCATCCAGGTTCTGACTCAGCTCACAGGGAGCGTCATCCAAAAGAATCAAATTCTCATTCGCAGAAGAAGCTAGCTTAGCAAGAGTATCTGCACAAACATTGTTGTCCCTAGTGACATGCAAGAAAATAACATTCCAATCCTTGTTACTCCAGCTTCTAATGCTGTCCACAATCTGTGAGGTTCCATTAATGGCTGTGTTACCATTTATAGCTTGGATAGCTAATAGACAGTCACTTTCAACTAACAGTTGAGACACTCTTTTAGTCCAGGCTACCCTGATACCCATTAAGATTGCCCAAAGTTCAGCAATTAAAGGGGAGCAAATACCCACCTTATAGAGGAAACCAGATCTCCAGTTGCCTACCTCATCTCTGAATAGGCCCCCACATGCAGCCAACTCGGAGATAGGCTGCACAGTAGCATCAACATTGAGTTTAATCCAACCCGGAGGAGGAGCTAACCAGCACTCTCTGCGGTGAGCACGCGAGTGGCTCTGAGCATTTCTTCTATTCAAACCACCAGATACTATATCCCTGATAAACTTGGATAAGAAAATTAAAGGCTGGTCTGGTCTAGTGAGCTGAGTATCATGCATATCACAATTTCGCCACTTCCACAGGTGCCAGATGGTGGCAGCAAAAATGTCAAGCCAGTTTAAGAGTTGCTGGTTGGGCCACTTCTGGTTGATATTCATTTGGAACCACTCCTTGAGAGGCAAACTGAAAAAATTCCTAGGAGGGGAGCCAAGGAACCAGGCCTCCCAAATTGGGGCTGCCTTACTGCAGTCCCTAAGGACATGAGCTATGCTTTCTACCTCAGTGGAGCACAAATGGCAGAAAGGGGAGTCACCCCACTTAGCTGAGTATTCTTGAGTGAGAAGCCTGCCATGGTACACCATCCACATAAAGGCACAAATTCTTTGGGGGCCTCTCCACTTCCAGATAGCTTTCCAGATGGGATCAGTAGGCATAGCCTCAAAATCCATGAGATTATTTTAAGCTAAACGGACAACGTTTTTGCTATTAGGAGAGTTCTTCCACATGAGGCTATCATCCCTACCAGTACTGACCGGGGGGATAATGGGGCGAAGGACTTGCACCACCTCCAAGGGAAGGCTCCTCCTTATAGTCTCCAGATTCCACTGCCCAGTGTCATAGTCAACCAGATCTGCCACCCTGCAATTAACATGACAATGTTCTACATCCGAAGTGGTATAATCAATTAGAGGCAAGTCTAGTTGGGTCCACTTATCCAGCCAGAAAGCAACATCTTTCCCATTCCCAACATTCCACTGCATAGATGACAGGAAGTCTTCCCAGATTCTGCCCAGGCTTTTCCAAAGACTAGAGTCAGATTGGGAGGTCTTGATAGATCTTCTAAGATCTTGCAATCTGCCATATTTACCAGTAAGGACTTGCACCCAAAGAGACTCACTGTTGCTGGTTATCCTCCAAGCTAGTTTGTGAAGAAAAGCTTCGTTGTGAATCGAAAGCTTATGAATGCCCAGGCCTCCCGAACACTTGGGTTTGCACACATTGTCCCAAGCAACAAGATGAACTTTCTTCTTATCAGGCAAATCTCCCCAAATAAAGGACCTTTGGATTTGTTCTATCTCATTGCAGATTGACAGTGGAAGAGAGCTGTGTTGCATATGGTAAACAGGGATAGTGCTAATAACTGAGTTGGCCAAGGTAACTCTACCCGCGAAGGAGAGGAGGTGCCTTTTCCAGTTAGCTAGGTGAGACTTGACTCTATTGAGCACACCAGAGTAGTTCTTTCTTCTCCCTCGCCCATGCCAAAGCATGGCCCCCAAGTACTTGCCAAGAGAATTGGCCATTTTGAAACCACTAGCCTGCGCAATGGTAACCTTATCAACCAGGCAAGTATTCTTAGAGAAGTAAATTATAGTCTTGTCAATACTTATCAACTGCCCAGACATATCACAAAAATCTTTCAGACAGCTCATCATAACATTTAGCTGATCCAGACTAGCTTCTCCAAATAATACCAGGTCATCTGCAAACATGAGGTGAGAGATAGCTGGCCCTCTTCTACCTGCCTTCATTGGCTTCCACAGCTTTTTACTGACAGCCTCAGCAATTAAATGAGACAGTTTGTCCATACACATAACAAATAAATACGGGGAGATGGGATCACCTTGCCGGATGCCCCTGGAGGGAGAGAATTTCTCAGAGGGGCTTCCATTCCACAGGACCTGGAATCTGGCCGACTGAACACAACCTTCAATTAAATCAGCTAAAGAGTGAGGGATACCTGCTTCTATAAGGATGTTTCTGATGAAAACCCAATTCAGACGGTCATAAGCTTTAGCAAGATCAATCTTAATAGACATGAAAGCTTTCTTACCTGTGAGCCTATTCATGGAGTGAGTCATTTCTTGAGCAATGATGACATTATCATGAATATTTCTGCCAGGGACAAAACTGGTCTGGAATGGAGAAATAAGCTTATCCAAGACGGGCTTGAGACGGTTAACAATGATCTTGGATATCGCTTTATAGATAACATTACACAAAGCTATGGGCCTCAATTGGTCCACTCTTTCCGGCTTATCCACTTTAGGACATAGGACCAGTAGGGTATCATTGATTTCTTGAATTTTCTCCGGGCTGTCAATGAACTCCTTAACATCTTTACAAAGCTTATCAGCAAGGAAATCCCAATTTTTCTGAAAAAAGGCAGCTGGGAACCCATCTGGGCCAGGAGCCTTGTGGGGTCCCATTTGGAAGAAGGCTCTCTTAATTTCCTCAGAGTTAACCGGTCTGGAGAGGGCCATCAAATCAATAGGATCCAGTTCAGGCCACTTATTGGCCGTTTGCTTCCAAATTCTAGCATGATTATCTTCAGAATAAAGCTTGAGGTAGAAGCTAGACACCATGCTCTTGAGCTCATTATCCCTTCTAATCCACCTACCTGCTTCATTTTGCAGAGCATAAATTTTATTTCTACCCCTTCTGGCAATAGTTGTAGTATGGTAAAACTTTGTGTTTCTGTCCCCATGCCGAATCCACAAGGCTCTAGACTTTTGGTACCATAATTGTTCCTCCAGGTCCAAGGTAAGTTCCAACTCTCTTCTAAGCTCCAAATCCAATTTCACCAGAAACGAATTATGTCTAGTTTCCAAGCTCCTCTGGATACCATCAAGCCTTCGAATAATGGATATTTTTTTCCTATGGATAAACCTGAATGTGTGTTTGTTCCAATCTCGAAGAACTGGAACTAGCTTGATCAGGTTTGAGGCAGAACCATCATTCGACTTCCAGTTGTCAGCTAGGACCTGCTTAAAAGTAGGATGCTCCAGCCACGGAGGAAAAAACCTAAAAGGCCTCTCTTCCCAAGGGGAAGAAGCTTTCAATAAAGAGATGAGCAAGGGATTGTGGTCCGATTGAATTTTAGGAATAACCTGGACTACTGCATCTTCAAACAGCAATCTCCATTGGATGTTAGCTACAGCTCTATCCAATCTCTTGAAGACTCTATCAAGGTTCGAAAATTTTGGACCTTTCCAGGTAAATTTAGGACCCACACTACCCATATCCAGCAGCTGACAGTCATTGAGAATAGCAGCAAAATTAGAGCAATTACCTAGATCCGCAGGGGCTCCTCCTCGTTTTTCATGCGCCACTGCAATCTCGTTGAAGTCTCCAGCAGCCATCCACGGTTCCAGGTACTGCACTGAGATCCTTTTCAGGTCATCCCAAAGCTCCTTCCTATTTTCTCTTCTGGGAGTAGCATACACAGCCGTAAAGAGAAAGGGAGGGTTGTCAGGAACCTGCACTCTAACAAGAATATACTGAGAACTTTTCTCAATTAACGAAACAGAGAACTTATCTTGATTCCAGAGAATCCAAATACCACCAGCGAAGCCAACAGCTTCCTCTACGATCGAATTAGAGAACCCAAGAGACCGAATCACCTTGGCGGCTCTGACACCACTAATTCTAGGCTCAAGCAACACTACCATATCACACTTGTATTTCTTCGAGAACGTCCCTATGATTCCTTTGAAGCGCTTCTTCGCAGCTCCACGGCAGTTCCATATGAAAACATTCATTGAGAAGGGGTTGGATTGTTAGTGGTAGATCGGGCACCACTTCTCCCACTATCCTTTCTCTCCGCCAACGGCTGGGTATTTCGGCCTCCCAAAGAGGGTTTCGATGGACTATTGCTCCGAGATCTATGGTAGCCATGCTCCTTGCCATCTCTAGGGTTAACATTCTCTTTCCTCTCCAAGGACTGACCGGCCAGCTTGATATTACCTCCTTGGCTAATCTGCATGTAGTCGATTGCTTGGTTGAGGGCATCTTCACTAACCTCTCTTGGCATTCGACTCATGAACTGGAGGATGTCCAGTTCCTTCCGTTTGCTTTCCTCGAGCTGCATCGCGTTGCTAACTTGGGACACCTGTAGCAAGTCGGATTTTGCAGGGGCAAGGATGGGAGCAAGATTTTTGGGCAGGGGCTTTGGCTGGCCCAGATGCTCTACGGTTTCGTTAAAAGCAATTTTCTGGTGCCCTTGGGCCTTAACACTAGGGACCAACTTACTCGGGCCCTTAATCGAACCAGAGGGTTGCTTAGTGGTACTACGAGATCCATTACCATTTGGGTTGTACCCTTTACCTGGAGCCGTTGACTTTGGGGCTTGATAGAGAAGATTTGGTGGGGTACCACTTCCTGAAACCTTGCTGCTACCTGTCAAAGCTGACACCTTTTTAGTAGGAATTTGGCTTCGAGTGGCTTCACTCTGTATACCTGCCACATCCTGCTCCTCTGCTGTGGCCAGTGCCTCATACCTAGTGTTAAGGCTGCTATCTTTTGTCCCATTACCTGTAGCAGATCTATTCGGATCTCCTACACCGGAGTGGCGTTGCTGAGGCTTTTTCTTCTCCTCCGGCTGACCTCTGGAGGAGGTATTAGGTTTACGAATCCTGTTACGCTTCTGGACCAGCATCCATTCGCCAAACGCGTCATCCTTGTTATCCCTAGATGGGATTTTTTCCATGGGACTCTTCTCCTTCCTCTGGATACTAGTGCCTACCGGGGATAGGTTCGTTGGAATAGGGGAATTCCCAATACATGACTCTTGCCTGTGGCCATAACAGCCACACTTGAAGCAAACTAATTGAAGACCTTCATACGCCACTTGGAATGTTCTGCCCAGAACCTCAAACGTTGGAATAAAAGATTTCCTTAAGTCTACTTCTATGCAAATGCGGGCAAACTTGCCTTTTTCCGTGTGCTCTGCATACTCACCTGTTCCTCCATCATACTTCCTCAACGAATTCTTATCCACCTTAAGCGTCTTTCCAAGAAGATTACCTATTCTCCATAGGTGTTGAGCAGTGTATACCTCAAGCGGAAGCCCAGGGATGCGCACCCAAACTGCTAGCCGTTTAACTTGTTCATCATATGGGTCAAACATTGGTCTCCATCTCTGCACAACAACATAGTGACCCACCACCACCCATGGGCCTTCTTGTAATACATGGAGATAATCCTTCTCTTCCTGAAAATTTATTAGGATGTAGCCGTTGTCCAGGTCAATGACTTCTGTACCACCTCTTAGAGCCCACATTTTGTTCAGTCTTGTCATTAGGTAGCGGTTGCTAATCCGTCTCCCTAAAAGTTTAACGATGAGAGCTTTTTCCCATCTTTTACAATCTTCTTTGTGTTGTTTCTTGGATATATGATAAACAGGGCAGAGGGGGTTAGCTTGAACTACAGTGACTTCTTCCTCCATCATACCATCTTCTTCCTCTTCTCTCCTTTGAGTGTCCCTCCAATCTTCCTCGTCACTATGAATGTCATCATCTCCTCCATTGAGTTGGAGCACCATGTCTTTGTAAGACACTACCCTCTTGCCTTCTCCATCAAGAATACTCCTGGGTTGCGGTGGTTTCCCTTCAGAGGTCAATCCAGCGCTTGGCTCTTGAACCCTTATTGCAAGGTTAGCCCCTTCCATGGTAGCGTCTTCAAAGCCAACATCCTTAGGCTTTTTAACGCTTCGTTCCAACAAGTCTTCTTCTTCTCGCACAGGTTCAGAGCCTTCGCCCACTCGACAAGTCTCCATAGCTAAGCTCAAACTTTAGTTGTCTAAGCTCAGATGTCCCATCTCAAAGTTCATTGTGTCTAAGTTAACTTCTAGTAAGGAAGAAGAATGGAGAGGACCTATTTACTCAATTCCCCTCCTTGAGAGAAAAACCCATTTCTTTCTGAATTGGTCTAAAGCAAGGAAAGGAATTATTGTTTCTACAAAACTAATTTCTTTTCTTTTCTTTTCTTTCCAGTCTCTTTAATGATTAGTTTAATCCAATGTAAACACAAGAAAGATATGCTGCATTTAAATTCCTCATTTTGTATTCAAATGCAGGGAATGTAAATATTTTACCATCCCTTTCTTTTCCCTCCATATTTTTGAAAAAATCTTTGTTGCTCTAACCAACCTAAATCCCTACACTCATGAGTAAAGACTTTTTGAACAGTATTGACCATTTGTATTTCAAAGAGGGAGATGCATTATAATGAATATGAAGTGAGTGAACTGTTAAAATTTAAAACCCCTTTAGTTATAAACTAATCTAGAACAATGTCATACCCCATGTGTCAAGAAGTTTTCAGTTCATATATCTTTTTTGAGTATGATTACTGGATGGTGGTTGTACATTAAACTGAACTTTAGCCCTCGGTTTAACCATATTTGATAGCATTGATGAAAGATAGGAAAGATATAGGATGATCACCAATTCAGAATAACTAAGTCAATAAGTGAGTGAAGAAATTTAAGTACCTAGCTGCAATCTCAGGAGTATAAGAAACATATGCGGAAACCAGACCAACACCACCTATACCCAATGTAAGGATTTGCATTTTCTTCTTTAACTGAAAACCCAAAATAAGCTTAGAGACAAAATTTGATATTTAATCAATGTCACAAGGGAAGAGGATAAGATTTACCAGGTTGCTAACAAAGAAAAAAGAGTAAACCCTCTGCTCGGTCCTCCAAAGATTAGAGTGTCACAAAATTACTCCTCCAAAGATTTTTTTGTCACCAAATTAGCCCCTCAAAGACTGTTACCACTATAGTCCCCAAAGAATTTTGTCAGAGAATTAATCCCTCAAAGATATAAAATAGTCATCAAATTCGTCTTTTTGTGCCACCACTTTAGTCCTTTATAAGGGACAAATATGGTGATGTTTAAGATCTTTGAGAGACCAATGTGGTGACAAAATTTTTGGAGGACTAATGTGGTAACACAGCTAATTTTTTCAAGAATGAAGTTGGTAACAACAATCTTTGTAGGACTAATGTGGTGACACCCTGATCTGTAGACGACCAAGAAAAGGGTTTAATTAAGAAAAAATAAATAGACAATGTTGTTGAGTACCTTGGCATACTGCTCCTCAGATTGAACAGCCAATACTTCTGGATCTTCACGAGATCGCCTTAATTCCCGAAACATCACATCCTACACGAAGTCTAAATCAGATATTTGAAGAGTAGAAAGTAACTTCTAAGTGTTCCTAAAGTTACATAGGTTGTCAAGTTTCTGTTTTGGGTTCAAAAAGTCAACTGATTGAGCTCTGTCTTACAGAAGCAAATATTATTAAGTTATCCTAGGTTACATAAGCTGGAAAATATACCCAGTTAATAAGTACAAAATTAGATCTTAATGGCAAGGAGTTAATGTTATATAGAAAAACATCACTTACACTTCCTCCAGTTGCAGCCTTGGTAGCTCTATCCCATTTTTCTTGCTCACGGCGTGTTGGTACCAGTTTCCATCTTACCCTCTTGCTTACATTCACCTGATCACCATTTCATTTGAAAAAAGAGAATTGAATCACATGGAAAAACAATACAAGGTATTATGTATTTTTTCTTTTTTCTTTTTTTTCCAAATAGAACTCAATAGAAAAAAAATAAGTACAATTAAATATTGAGATATATCATAACTAAGACTAATTTTATCCAAAAGTTATAATAATCAAGTGAAGAGACAAATCTCTTACATCAGCTGCTGCCTCGATTTGCTGGTCTAGATTATGATTTGCAGGAGCTGAGAGTTCTTTGCTCAAATCAACTTCCAAACTACAGTTCATAATTCAAATAATTTTATGCAATAAGAAAGAACAAAAGACAAGGGAATGACGCAACCACATATGAAGACATGAATTCAAATATTGTAGAAAAAGACCTGTCAAGGCTCATGACTCTGTTTAAGCTTAGAAACCCAGAAGGCTCTTCCTGTTCAAGGAACTTTATTTATGTCAGAGCCAACTCACATAATCAAACAAATCCAAAATCATTCACCAAGATTGCTTAAGTCATCAACAACAAAAACCAAGGCCTTTTTTTCTCATTAGGTGGGGTTGGATACATGGATTGAATAACACCACTGTGTTCTATCGAAATCCAAGTCTCTATTAAAATATCTTGAATCACCGTTGATGAAAACGAAAGCATCTTAGAAGCCAAATATTGTGTAATATCATTTTGAATCCTATGCAAAAAATTGGAGTGAAGCAACTGCAAAAGAAGACGGCGCTGAAAAATGTTATTGTTCCCCATACTTTTCTACCACACTCATTATTGTGTTTAATATAAATTATAAGCCCTTGATGGGCATTTCTGTTGGAAGTAAATCTACACATTCGACAATATAATGAAGTGCCACTGATAGAGCCTAATTACGAAAGGCCCAAGTCAGTAAGGTGTACGTGAGGGACAAAGGAAGGAAGCAATGGCATGGGCCCACACATTCTACTTCCACTCAATCCGTTATTGCTGAGTCGGAGAATTTGTTAGAAGAGGAGGAAGTTCTACGCGTTGCAAGTTAGTTACTAAGGGAATATAATTAGGGGAGAGGGAGGACAGAAGAGGGCACCAAGGGGTCATTACTGTGTGAGGTTTTTGGAGGTTGCAAGGGCACCTCTGATTTATTACTTGTTTTCTTTCAAACACTGATCCATAGCAGCACTATGGAGAACCATATGAATTGATTTCGTGTTTTTACTGTTTAATTTCTGAGAAATACAAATACTGAGTTGTTATCCAGAAATTATTGTGTTCTTGCTGTGTTTCAATTCTTAAATCGTATCAGCCACACAATAATTTCATTACCATTTCTACCAAAATATGAATTATGCAATTTATATATTTTCCTTCCCTTGCTCAGAGTCACATTATGTAAAATAGTGAAAATACACAAGTGCAGGTCACTCAACATAATGATTGTGTAAACTAAAGTAAAACTTGGTTCAGTCAATTTCATTGCTTTAGGTTAGGTGGGGCACCAATGATGGGTTGACCATATCCATAGCCACTACATCTGCTCTGGAAAACTTAGGGCCTGTTTGGCCAAGTAAGTGGGTCTCTTAACAGTGTTGAGTGGGAGTGGGATTGGGATTGACTGTATAAGATAGTCACAGAAACTCAAAATTCAATATTTGGAAACTGAGATAGGTATAATTAATTTCTCTTGCTCATTAACACAATAATCAAGTAAAACCCACAAACACAAAGCAATAAGCATAATTAGCCAGTATACATATTTTCCAATCAATCAAAAATTCCAATAAAAACAGACACCAATACAACAGTAGAAGATAAAAGAGACACCCAGATAGGTAATGACTGAGAGAGAGAGAGAGAGAGAGAGAGAAACTGAATGAAAGTTGAGACCTTTGGAGTAGGGGGTTGAAGAGAAGGTTGAGGATCCTCAATCAACCTTTTAAAGCGACCCACAAAGTCTTTGTTCCACATAAAGTCATCAGAGGCCAAAGGGTCTTGATCCTCGCCTCCCCAGTACTTGCGGAGCTTGGTGGTGGCCGGAGGACCACCGTATTCACCAGGAGCCACCCCAGTGGACCATTTCATAGGCTTTTTCTTTGGAAGAATAACCTTGGTTTGCCTTGGATCCTGCGAGGGTTGAGAAGAAGGAGTTGAAGAATCTGGTGAGATGGGTGTGGCTGCAAATGCCACGCAATTGAAGTTCAGAATTGCCATTTTTTTTCTGTTCTGTTCTGAATAGCAGCGAAAGCTCAGAATCAGCTATGGAGAGATATTATTGTATTCTGTGTCTATTAAATTTCGACATTTCAAAACAAAACAAAAAAGTTAAATTAAATTAAATTACCAAAAAATATTATTTAAAAAAAAAAAAAAAAACTTCTCATTTTTTTTACTTTTTGTAAAAAATTTAATTTTAAATGGTGAAGTTATATACACACGAACACGATGGCCGCATATGCAAAATGTGATTTTACTTGCGTTTTACAAGTCATCATCGTCGTTTATTCAAAATAAAAAAAAAAAAAATACACTGATCGATATAGACTAGCGCCTTTAACATGCCGAACCACATGAGGCACGTGTTAATCGTGCCTACCTCCCCTATCTTATTCTCCTCATTTGTTCTCCTCAGTCCTCACAATTTTTCTCACTCAGAATATTCTCAATTTCTGTCATTTTTTTCTCTCCTCACTCTCTCCCATTTATCTATCTTTATTTTCAGTTTAATAATTAAATATTTTTATTTATAATTTTTATTTTATATTTATTGTTAATTATTTATATTAATTTTGTCATTTATTATTATTTATTGTTTTAAAAATTATGTAATTTAATATTTTTATTATTTATTATTTATGCCATTTATTATTTATGTTTGGCAATAAACCAAGAATCGAAAAATAATTTATTAGTTCTCAGTATAAATATTTGAAATACACCGATTATAATCTACAATTAATATAAATATAATAACTCATCACAGGGGTCAAACTGGGCCTGATCGGCCTACAGCTCGGCCTACGTCAGATCAGATCTGACCTAATATATTTTTGTAAAATAGGTCAGGCTTGGGTCTTAAAAAAACCTATTTAATAAATAGGTCGTAGGCTCACTTTCACAAGGTCTGGCTTATAAGTCTACGAGCCGACCTATATTGTACTATGTATTTTGAATAAAATAAAATAGAATAAGTATGCCTTGAAAAAAAATAAAAGATATAAATTTAATTAATTGCAATTATTTATAACTCAATTATATTTAATTATATTTTAATAGAAATCTGACTTTATTTCTTATGTAGAAGGAACTAACATCTCACATGTTAGATTGTGTATATGAATATATTAAAAGGTTTTTGGGAGAGGTTATACTTACTATAAGCATCATGATGTGTTTGTTGGGTTCATGTAGTTATTTTAATTTACATAGTATGGATTCATTTGTTGAATATGATGAAATATATGTTATTTAGTTTGAGCATTTTGCTTTTGAAAGTAACTTAAATGCAAATTGTGATGAGTTTTGTTGTGATTCATGATTCTATTTAGACGTTGAAAATGTGATTTTTGGTTTAGCAACATAATTTGAGTATTTTGTGAAGTTGATTCATGGTTCTGCTTGAAAGTTAAAAATTAACAGGCTAACAGGCTAGGCCAGACCATTTGTTTTTTTATAAACGGTCAAACCAGGCTAACGGTTAGACTCGTATTAGGCTTAGGCCAGACTAAATTAAATTTTTTGATATAGGCTTGAGCTTTTCGGAGCAAAGTTTGGCTCAGCCCAACCCACTTTCATCCCTACTCATCACAAGATTACATCTTGCAAAATATATATGAGTAAATACCATTTTCGGTCCTCAGCATATTTCACGATGCCCACTTTCATCCCTTCTTATTGCTAGGGACTAAAAAAAGTATCGTGAAATTTGCTGAGGACCAAAAAAAAGATATTTACTTCATATATATTTTACACAATTTATTTATTTTATTTTTTTGGTGAAATATTTTACACAATTTTTTTTTTTTTTGTAAATAATATTTTACACAATTTAACATAATACAGTTGAAACCAGTTTCGATCGCTATCCAATGTCCAGCTGAAAACGGTGACGGCAATCAAATTTTTTAAATAGAGACAGTATAATAATACGGTAATATCCTTTGACCCAAGAGAGAAAACAAGTAACTTCGTATTTTTTTCAAGAAAAAAAAGGTGTCAACTAATTGCAAATGAGCAATCTGGTATTATCAAAGAAACCTAGTTCCCACGCCACCTTCCCCTGTACCTCATTGGTGCTCAAGCAGCGCCTTTAACATGTCCGTGTTCAATAGGATAACCCATCTATGTATTGCCACATAATGTCAAAAAAAACTGTGACGTGCAAACAAATCATACAACAACCTTTCTCTTAGATGTTTTCAAGAAACCTCACCCTAGCCCCTGGTTTTTACTAAAACTACCAGTAAAACCAAAAAATAAAAATAAAAACCGTAGAAACACAATTAAAGAAAAAAAAAAAAAAAAAACCCCACAAAACAACCAAAGAAAACAGAGAGAATCATTGTTCTTGAATTGAAAGGAATTTGTACAGAACATTGGCGATACATGTAACAAGGGCCACCCAAAATTAATCACAGATCCATAAGCCCATGTGAAAATTCCAACCTATATAGTATATATTCAGATGAACAAGAAGCAAGAATAAAAGAAAAAAGAAAACCCATTACAGCATTGATCACGAAGGAACAAGAACACAAAAAGGCATAGAAGTTAATTGGACAAAATCCAATTCCCATTAACCCATTCTTGATGAACCCTGATCTGAGAAGAAGGGTACGCTATCTCTTCGTTTGTGGTAGAAAAATAGACGTAGTAGTGAGAACCAGTTCTTCCGGTGATCGAACCAACCCACCAACCATCGTTGTCGAAAGCATCGACTTTCTGATAGAGTGCAAACTGAGAAGCGTGGACACGAGGCGGCGCGGGACGAAGCTCCTTGGGATAAAGGGTTTCGGTGAGAGGCAGAGACTCGTTGTCCTCGAGAAGGTTCTTGTAGCGAACAACGTAGAGGCCATTGTCAAGGTGGGAAACAATGGTGGCTTCGTAATAGGAACCAAGAAACCCTTCTTCTTTGCTGCAAACCTCAACCTTGTCTCCTCTGCAGAAATCGACCCTCTTCAATGGTGGACGCATCGCTGATGTTGTGGTGTTACGAAGAGGAGAAGTGGAGCCCCAACGTGGGTAAAGAATTTTGTGGTGAATATTCAATAGGAACAGAAGGATAGCAGCATTGGTATAAGTAATACAATTGTATATAAGCGGTTGTATAGGAGTAAAAACGTAAAATAGACTGATGTTGTAAACTACTGATATGGCAATCGTAAACAATGACGTGGCATTGGTTTAGGACATTAGTAGTTGTTGTCACTGTAACAAAAGGACAACTGTAATTGTTAGGAAATTCATTGCAGAAAATTGAAATAAAAAAAAAAAATTGTTCTTGTTCCTTTATCGTGTTCTTTCCTCGGGTTCAACCCCTTATCATTGCTAAAAAAATTTCCACCGTATTTCCTGTAATTTTTTTTTTTTTTTTTGTAAAAAAATCTATCTCTTTTACCAAATGCTCTCGTGGTGAAAAAGCGAAAACACAATATTTTGTATAATATTCTACGACCTTTTATTTTAAAATTTTGGCTAAATTTTGGATTCTCAGCGATATGTTTGTCTATATCCCAACTTCAATACCGAAAAGTAATAATTATGTTATCAAAAAAAAAAAAAGTAATAATTATATAAAAGATCATTTTTTTTTTTTTTGTATACAAGTTGTTTTGCTTTTGAACATTTGTGTAAGTTGATTGTTTGTACACAAATTTGTATAAGAAATAAATGTAACTTAGTTTACATTTGAAATAAATAAATGGTGAGTTCACCCAATGGGTGCAGCTCAGTTGGTAACTTGGCGCTGAGTTAGTGGGGTTGGATATGTGTTCGATTCCCGCTGAATGCATTCTTGGGGAGGGGGCTGAACCTTTAGCCATCATTGTTCCCCCGCACTCCGGATTAGTCCCATAGCCGGCTCAAAGAGTCGAAGCTCATGGGGATACCGGAGGGAGCCAACTCGTCTCAAAGAGATAATTAGGGTTGGGTAACTCCAAAAAAAAAAAAATGGTGAGTTCTTACAATAAAATGAAGAGTTATACTACACTCATGCAATAGGAGATATATTATCTCATGTTGTAGATACAATTATGTGGTGGATCTCATTATTTATTAAAAAGGAAAAAAAGAAAGGCATAAAAATCGATGGATCTGTAAGAAGTTATATTATCTCATGCAACCTGAGAATAATATAAACCTAAAATGAAATATTATGCAAGTACTAATAGATGCTTTGACAAAAGTTTGTTTCAAGTTGAACAAACCTTAAAAGGACATCCGTAATCTATGGTATGTTTGAGAGAAAAGAGATGGAAAGAGAAGAATAGCAATATATATATATATATATATAGGTCAAGATCATTTTATACCAGTGTACGTTACACTCTCAATCTTGACCATTGATCCCACTTATATCTAAGGGCTCTAATTTTTTAGTAATGTGAGCCATTGGATACAAGTGGATCAATGATCAAGATTGAGTGCAAGACTTCTAACTCTTACACTGGTATAAGAATATCCTACCCCTATATATATATATATATATATATATATATATATATATATATATATATATATATATATATATATATATATATATGAGTAGGATCATTTGACATTGGTGTCAAATTTCATGTTTGACACTTTATCTGAAAGTCATTAGATCAAGCTTGAAATTTGACACCTCATCTGATAGCCGTTAGATCAAAAAAGATCAACGACTCTGATTTGTACGCATGTGACACCAGCCGTTAGATCAAAAAAGATCAACGACTCTGATTTGTAAGCATGTGACACCATTGATCTTTTTTGATCCAACGACTATCAAATTTCAAATTTGACACCCGTGTCAAATGATCCTACCTCATATATATATATATATATATATATATATATATATATATATATATATATATATATATATATATATCTTAAAATTTAACTCTCGTGTTTTAGTGGGGAAGAAAGAGAATTCAACTCTCATCCCTCTATTGAGTTCAATATAAATTTTCCCCCCTCTCTAACTCTCAATTTGATAGAACAAAATTTTAGAACTTTTGAAAAAAGGAGGAGAAATAGTTCTCTTACTTCCCCTTTTTAAGGAGTATGTGTAAGTGTAACTCTTTTTCTTCTCATCTATCTCCTTACTTCTCATCCAAACATATAAACTTTAGAGAACTTCGTAAGAAAAAAAAACTCAATCAGATCCAGTATCCAAAATCTCATTACATCTTGTAGTGAGCTCTAATTATTACAGTAACCAAATGCATTATATGATTGAACGCTGACGAGTTTATGTGTCCAATAATTGAGCACCGTTCATCATCATTCAGAAATCAAGTCAGCAAAAATATCATTACAAATTTGGTTGAAAAATTTAACCATGAGTATGGAAAGAGAGAACAATTGCAAATATTCCAAGACCAAATTTCTAACACGGAAAACCAAAGGCAGATAGCTTAACCACAATAACAATACCTTCTTTATTTCATTTCTAAATTCTTCATTCACTAAACAAAATAAAATAAAATGAAATGAAAGGACATGAATAAGGAGACAGTGATTTAAGAATCCATGCATAATGTCAAGATTCATGACTCACTTCCATGCCTTCAATTTTCACTTTCTCCACCACAAGGAGACCACAAAAGTTTAGAAGGTATCTTAGGGAATATCTACCCTAGTTTTTACCAGGCTTTTTGATAACAGTGATGCCCCAAGGAATATCCCCACGTTTGTTGTGGCCCAGTGAAGGGCCAGAAGGTGGAGTTGGAATCCATTTTGGAAGGGAAGCCGAATAGCTTGAAAGAGCAAATCTTCCAATAGGAGTTCCAACTCTGGCTTCTTCATGGCTGTTGTGACCCTTACTGTACAGAATCTTGATTTCTTGAGTTTCGAAAAATGCAGCATTTGCTATTGTCATGTTAGAGATAAGCAACAGGAGCAGCATAAGAAAAGGGTTTGAGTGAGAGAAGGGTTTAGAAGCCATGACAGGAAACACAAGCTTGATGCTATAACTATCTAATCTCCTCTTTAGGGAGAGAGATTGGTTCCAGTTTGGTTTTATAGATCAATAGGCAAAGAGTGTAACGTATGTCACTTGAGAAAATGAGAGCTAAATTGAATTTGATTGTTGAGAGGGAACCAAAAGACAAATTAATGGTGTTAATCCAAGCAGAAAACAGGTTCATCACTTTGAAACAGACTTGATGGCATTATTGGGAATAATTGAATTCAAATGGGTATTTTCATTCATGAAGTTTGCTACTTTTGGACTCACTCACTCTCTCTCTTCTCATGGCTGACCTGTCACCCATTGCATGTTGGTGAATGAAAGCATGAAACTCAGACAACTTGTGTCCTAAGTAACACAATTTAAGGGAATCATCAGGGTAATACAGGGTACCTTATTGGCCCATCATCTTCAAAATTTTAAAATACACTAATCCCTATGAGAATCATATTAGAAACGTTAAACATCAAACTGCAGAAGGGAATACAGATAAAATCCTTGCTGGCAAAAGCCATAACCCCGATTTATTGCATGATAATAATAGATAAGAGTCGTTGTTATTTGATAATGATGGTCCACATCTGCGGTACACAACATAGGTTACAAACACAGTGAAAACAAAACAGTCATGAGAGCTTTAACCAGTGTTTTGCATGCCAGCAGCTATACCCTTCATTGTCAAAATAAGGGTATCCTCTAAACCAGGAGCATACTCACTTGTTGGGTTAAGTTTTACAAGCTCTGCTGCTGGCTTGCTTGATTCCATGCAGTCCTTTGACAAATGTGGCCTCAGCTTCACATGGTAGTCAGGATCACGGATTTGCTTCAGTGTGTAAGCTTGCAAGACATTGAGGGTTGTGATGTACGAATCGCGAAGACAAAGCCTTTGCTTTAAGTAAGGGTCTCCTTCAAGGAGATCTCTATGTCCTGCAACCTACAAACAAGATTTACAGGAACGAATATGGTCATTAACATACCAAAATAAAATAAAATTCATGTTCAACTTTCACTCTTTTGCCAGGACTAAGCCAGAGAATAACAAGAAATATATGGTACAAATAGAGAAAAGGAGACAGTGAGTCTTTATTCATCTTCATGTTATCAAGTAAACAAATTAAAGCTACTGAGAAATAAAGGTAAAAGAATCCTAACAAGCAAATTATTAAGCAGCAATAGTAGATTACCTGGAGGAGAAGGCTCTTGGTTTCTACATATTTAGACCGCAAACGCTCACCAAATGTTAACAGTTCTTCTGATACTAGAAGTTTGTCATAAAGTGTTGCTATCCCTGGGTCTCCCTTGGCAAACACCATCTCAATCAAGTCAATAGTAACCCTGAAGAAGGGCCATTGATTATACATATCTTGAAGCATTTGAAGATTCTTTGGATCCTTCTCAATTACATGCTTAAATGCTGCCCCAAAGCCAAGCCATACTGGTAAGTGAAACCTTGTCTGATTCCAAGCAAAGATCCAAGGGATAGCACGGAGTGATTCAATTCCTCCACTTGGCTTTCGTTTCGATGGACGACTGCCAATATTCATTCGTCCATACTCCAACTCGGGAGTTGCCTGCAAATCCAAATATTCATAAGTGAAGTAAGGAAAGAAAATAATGTATGCCGTGAAGATAAAAAAAAAAAAAGTAAAGAATGAAAATAAGGAAAGAAATTGCATGGTCATTAGTTTTGTGACTCCAAAAGGAAATGGAATTTTTTACTTAAATCATCATATAATTATATTCCAGTTAAATCAGAAATTTTGTAAGCAATATTAATATATTCACAGGATTGGAGGAAGAAAAGAATGGCAATCAGCCTTCATAGTTATTAATTAAATTTTGAATACCAAGAGCGTTATGGAAGTATTTCTCTTAATTAGCAACACTATTAATGCAATTTTGAATACTCATCATAATTATAAATTTTGTAAACATACCACTTCAACTCTAGATTTTCAAGGGCGTCTTTCTATACTGATGGTAATAATAATGAAGATTGACTGCAAATTACTTACACATCGGAAGTATTCAACAAAACGGGGCTCCTGGAAGACAATGGAGCGATACTCCATTGTTGCAATGACAGCCATCTCATCCATAAGG